AAAATTTAAAATTAATATTTTATTCATATATTTTAATTTATTTTGAATTGTAAGTTGTAATTTGCATAATTTCATACTTCGACATATAAAAGAATACGAGCAAAGACTGTCTTCACCACAGAAGTACTGTACAAATTTACGTTTTGCCAGCTGCTTTTATTTATTTAAAAAATGATTCTAACTATTATTCTAGATATAGTGGTTGCAATATTAAAATTTATTTTAATTACAGAACTCAATTCAGCCTCTAGAACAACCATCGTGAGTGTTTTAATACGTTCAAGCTCTTCAATATGGTAGCTGAGTTGTACTTTATATGTATATATTTTAATTTCAGGTAACGTGTTTATCGTGTCTTAGCTTTCTCGTCATGGTTATGGTCATTCTGAACGAATATATTTATGAGTTGGTGGGAAGTTTCGATGTTTTTCCCGTAACGATCTATTTCATGTTTATGATAAGCATACAGCACTACGTCACTGCACATGTTGCCTGNCTAACATGGCTGATCATAGAGATTTCGCAATCTTTATGTCGCTGTTGATTGAAAATTTAGTGTTTTTCAAATCCCTAAACTGGTTTTTGTTGTTAGTTTGTAAACTGACGGAAAATCATAATGATAATTCGAAGAATGTGGAAAAAGATTTGATGTAATGATCTATGGGAATGTATAGTCTGACGTTTTATTTTTAAATAAGATTTTAATCAAAAAATTAAGAATTTTTTTTACCATCCTAGACTTGTATTTGTATTAAAGCAGAAAAATAAAATTACGTGTTTTTTGAAAAATTTCTCGTGTAATTAATCGTGGACGATACTCTAAAATGGCGCACTTTTAAGTTAAAATCCTGCTTTTATTACGTAAATCAATTTCTCAAATAGTAAATTCGTTAACTTCACTAAAATATGACATAAATTTTGCATATTATAAGTGGAAAAGACGTCAAAGTTACATCATAGAGCGCACGTTGTCTAGGCGGAAAAACCCGAGGCTCTAGCGTAAATTAAACCAATTTTTTTCAAAATGTTTCTTATCTGATTGTTCAATATTACTTGTATTATGGCTTTAATACTACCGTTTAATATCGGATTTATACGAGATATTAAACCGCAGTCTTAGAGCGAGCGAACTCGGGTAAATTGCTGATTTGTACCTGTTGTTTCGAAATCAACTTCACCGAGATATAAATTCATGGAAACGATGTGAAATTTGGCTTTTGGTTTTTGTAGCTTAAATATATTATAAATATCATTTTATCAGCAGATAGATACTTCAGAATCTACTCATCACAGACTAAAATAAAAGGCACGTGTCTATTTCTTTAGCATTGTCCATAGATAATTACAAATTTACAGTTTAGAGAATGTAATTTGACTATGAGAAACTGCTTTAAAATGTGAAATTCTTTAAAAGAGTATGGACGATAAATATCACTGCAGACAGTTTATTTTCCATTGTTTTGTGTTAGAAATGGAGATAACTGAACAATACTGACGTACAGGAGAGCCCATCTGATGTACGTGGAATTACAGCATGTTGTTGGATTAATTAAAAGATTTTGTACATCCCTATTGTACACGCGCTTTGTTTACTGATTAATTTGTCGTATCAATCACGATTGCGAATGTTTTGTCGACCACACGTGTAGCAGACAAGTAGCGATTGACAGTACTGTAGATCAGTGTCTCGCCCAAGCATCAAGCCAGATTACATGAAAATTTCACGTATATCAATCAACCTGCGGTGGAGTGTTGGATTAGTAAGTGATGGACAATAAAGAATCTACTGTATTTTATTTCGCTTTTAATCGGTGTTCGGGTAGTAAAGGAAAGACTTGGGACTCCTTATATAATTTCTACTGACTGCTCTTTAATTTTGAACGTCCGTCCGTATGATACGATGGATAAGGAGTGAGGAAGTCTACTGTAGAACGTTCATGGTGTAATTTTGTAAGTGTACATTTATAAGAAGTATTATTAAAATCAGTTTTACATTATGATAACTGTGTAGCCCCGTGAGTGTCTTTAGCCCACAAGACAAAAGTAATACAGAAAACAAGAAAAAATAATACTTCCTAAGTGTTTTAGGATTGTCTTTTAATCATACCCATCGTCAGTGCCGTAACTAGGCAGGTGCACCCGCACAGGGCCCTCTTGAAAGGGGGTCCAAAATGCATGTATATGTTTTATTATTTTCCCAAACCTAATTAATTAAGGAGCCTAAATGCAAATTCTTGCACAGGGCACAGGAATGGCTAGTTACGGCACTGTTCATCGTGAACTCGTCCAGGCCCAGAATGGGGGGACGATCCAGTGGTGAGACGGAACTGAACAAATCCGAGGCAGACCATTTCCAAAAAATTTCTCGGACTGTGCCCGGATATGATTTCGGATCCACAGAGCTGTTGACTGACTGGTTAACGTGACTGGATTGTATTTTGACGACCGACTTTTTCAGACAACACTCTCATAATTTAACAGATATTATTCTATGTAGTTTTAGATTAAAAGAACTTTTCTAAGGTTCATTTTTCACAAATTGATCAACGACTAACGGCCGAGAATTCTAAAAAAACTATAAAATACAGTGGTGCCTCGTACAACGTACTTAATCCATTCCAGGTGCACGTCCATTAAGTGAAAAGTCCATTATACGAAACGTATTTTCCCATAGAAATACATGTTAAAACATATAATTCGTTTCTCAGCATAAAATAACCGTACTGTACCATTAAAAAATTTGAAAATGGAGCATTTACCAATTATGCCGGGTAGTCAGATGTTATAAGGGAGAGGTGGAGGAACACTTTCTTCGAACATTCATACAGATACAGACTTTTTACACATTGCAGCAGGTCTCTTTTTATTGTTTTTTAATCGGAGTCAGATTCAGGAGTGGCTACCGGAGCTGGCAGGGTCAATTCCTCTTGTTCCATCCTTTGTTTTTTGGCAGCTGACTTCTTGAAAAATATGTCCAAGGTGGTCGGTTTCTCTCTGTTCTTCAACACCTTTCGGAAATGACGGGCAAGGGTGTCATTGTAGAGATCATTGATCCTGTTGGCTTCAGCTTTATTTGGATAATGAGTGTTGGTAAAACTCCTGAACCTCTCCCCATTTGACAAGGAAGTTTTTGTCAACTTTCACTCCTTCTGATGATGTCTTGCTTTGTTTTAATTGAAATCACCTTTCTGTTTTTTTTAGAAGCCATGATTTGCAAAACACTTGAATAAATTAAATACCATGCACTGAGGTGATGTATGTAATAAACAAGGGAGCAAGCCGAATCCCAACGAATATACATGTTCGGCTTACATGTTCGGATGTGTCGCGCGGAATCCACACATAGCTACAATTTATTTTGTGTTATTTATTTCTGTGTTTGTTATATCTAGGGAGACTCGAGAGACTCTACTATGTCATCGAAACAAAGTAGAACTAATTCTTCCGCATCAAACAAGAAAAGAAAAACTTTATCTTTGGAATGTAAAGTTAACATTATTAAAGACTTCGATACAAAAATGAAAATTTGTGAATTGGCAAAGAAGTTTGATCTTGAAGTTTGAAGAAGTATTATCTCTGAGATGAAAACAATGTTAAAATTATGGCGTAATAATCAAGTAAATGTGAAAGATTGTAAAATAATATAGGCCTAATTTGTTATACATATATATTATCTAAGATTTTATTAAACATTTTTTTCTAAATTATTGTTTTCTTTAGTCTCCGGCCCCAATTAAAAATTATTTGTATGTATTTATATGCGAAATTATACTCCGACTTACGCGGTTACCGCTCGGTCCCACCTATCGCGTAAATTCGGGGTATTACTGTATTGTATTTTCTTGAATCATATTCTTAGCTTTATCACATGCAGAAATCCTAGTAAGTTGCTGAGATCTTCTTAGAAGATGAATGCACAACTGCTTCTAACTTAAGTTTTTATGATAATGTGGCGATATCTTTATATCTCTCCATTTATCACAGCAATATTGTATCAAGTTTTTCGATTGTACTGTATATTATAATACCTAAACCACACTGGATAACACCAGTGATAGCAGTGAGGTTTGGGTCTGAACAACTGAATAACTAAGTGTAATTATACGGATTTCGATCACGTATTAAATAGCGTTTCTCATAAAAATTCTCTAAGGCGACAACACCTGGCAGACGCCCATGTGTTGTGTTGCCTTCTTCAATCAATTTAATCCAATTTAATATTTTAATATTTAATATTTAATCATACGACCCTATGGCCATTGGCCTTTTTCAAGGGTTAAAAGAAAAACTAAATCCAAATCTAAATCCAAAACTCGTAAGTCTTTTCCATTACTGTATCCATTATTCCTGTCGTCCTCTTTGAAAGACAGGAATAATGGATATAGCACTGGATACAGGAATTGAATAAGGGATACAGTACTTCATTGCAGGCTCTGTATCTTAGAAATGTCCCGTTGCCACAAGAATTTACTTTCACGGGTTAACCAAGATCTTTCTTCAGTAGTCAAGGAACTGATATGACACGGTAATTACTAATTTCGGGAACTAAGGTATTCTTTATGTTTTGGCATTATTGGTTTCTCCAGATTGAATGACTCAACCGAAGTTACTCATCCACAAATACAGCTTTGAGATTCTTCGTAACACTGAATATTTCTCGCTGAAAAGTCTCTATTATGCATATCTATTTTCTTTTATGAAAAGGTTTAGAAACGTTACTTCTTTTAAAATTCATGTAATAAAAAAATTCATATTAATCATAATTCTAGAAAAATGGTAAGATATTTTATACGTGCATTACAATAGTGACGTAAAAATATGGAAATTACCTTAAAACTTAGGAAACATTTTTGTTTCATAACAATAAAGAAATATTTTTTAACGAATTTATCTAAAACTTAATATTATTATCGATTTAAATATTGATATTTTAATTTTTTTTGAATCGTAAGACGTAATTTGCATAATTCATTAGTTTGAGTTATAAATACATCAGAGCATAGGCGCTCTTTGCGTCAAAAAGCAGATTTACGTTTCGTTTTGATAGATTTTATTATATATATATTTTTTTAAAATGAATGATTTTACTGATTTTTATTGTGAAGAAGCCATTGGGATATTAAAATGTCTTTTAATTGTAGCATTCAATCGAGCACATCAAAGAACCATTGTAAGTTTTCCAGCATCTATTTGCAATTTTTTGTAATTTCATCTTACTTGAAAGCTATCAAAACATGAAATAACACTTAATTGTTTTACATTTAATTTCTTATTTGATAATTTTTCAGGTTATATGTTTAACAAGTTTTACTTTTCTCATCATAAACATGGTTATAATCAACGAATATATTTATCGAGTGGTGGGTAGTTTCGATGCCTTTCTCACAGCGCTGTACTTAACGTTCATACTTCTCCTCTTATACGTTACTCAAATAATGAGATTGTTGGTGAAGTAAGTACTGTAATTGCCTTAATTTCTTTTTATACCAGTTTATAACTTGTTGTTCTTGTTTTTCAGAAAGTATTTTGTTCCTCCTGACTCTGATAATCCAGGATCCGTCGTGATACTCCTCTTGGGATTGTCTCAAACTTTTGTGCTGTGGTTTTTCCCGAACTTGTTGCTGGAATTCGTATCCAAGCTTTCAGAAGAGCATAACAACAAACTGAAACAATTTCAAGCAAAACAAGACTCAAACTAATTATCCAGGAAATAGTCAATTGTCGCGTTTTGACGTTTGTTTTCAAAAACCATTTTTGAAAATAAGATTTTAACCAAAAAATAATCTATATATTTAGAGTAGTTTTATACCAACATCATTGTCTAAATTTCAACCCTTTTTTTTTTAGTTTTAATAAATCTATGAACTATATTTATTTATGCAAATTTTGTCTTTGTATTTCCTTTTTCGTGAAGTTTTAATAGCAACGCGATTGTGAATAATTTTAACTTAGTATTTGCTTTTATTATATAGATATAGACAATCTAATCAGCCATATTGAATGCAAAAATGGCGTTACTAGCAGGCTTGTACGTCGAGTGTATACGGTGCTTCAATTTCAATATTACAAAATGTTGGAATGATCTACTTTAAATTGCTTTTTAAGGAATGTGAAGTTTCAGGATATTTAAATTTCAAAAAGGAATGGTTTATGAAGTGTCGGGAGACAAGTTGAAGCAGACTAATTATTTATAATAATATTTCCCATTCTGACATTGGATCGCATACTAAACCTATGGTCATCCCTTGAAATTACTGTAGCATATACTAACAGAAATCTTTGCTTTACGTATTATATTTCAACGTTTAATCTATAAATTTGTTCATCCAGACTTTGAATGCTCTGTATGCGCTTCATGTTATTAAAAATAACAGAAGCTCAATTAGCCAATAATCATTTAGATGGAATTGAGTATACGGGAATGAATTCGTTATTTTGATGGAGGGAACTCGCAGTCAGCGGAAAATATCCGTAGAGTTTAACAGGCTATGAACACAATTTCCATCAATCATACACAACGGTTAGTCGCAGCTCGTTAAACAGTTTGGCACTTTCTGGCCGAATGCTTAAAATTACGTTAAAATTATTTATCTATATATGAAATAGTTAGACGCAAAAAAGAGAAACGAATGTGACTACATATGTCAATTTTAATTTATAATTATACAGAAAATATTCTTCTTTATTTTTACAATTTTTGAAAATAAATAAATTAAATTGTTTTTATATCTAAAAATATCAATGTACATCGAAATAAAACACAGATCTCGATTTTATGTCTTTTTCCGATGCATTTTTGCACAGTTCGGCAAACTCGGAATCGGGAATATAAATCTCCGCACTGCTCAATAACTGAACTGAATTTTCTTCTCTCAATTCCTCATTCGGAATAGAAGCTTCCAGAAAAGCGTTAGAATTCTTTTCCAAAAATATCGGTTCTTTCAGACTGATTAGTCCATCAGAACGGCACGAAAAAGATTCTAGTTTGACTAAAGTGGAATTAATTCCTACAATGCCTCGAATGTTCATCAAAATTCCTTCTACATTGCAATGCGTGATGGGTAACTGTAAACTTTCAATAAAGCAATCTTCCATCACTACTACGTGGCAAGCGAAGAACTTGCGCATCAGTAATTGTCCGATACGTGTAGATCCTAAATTTCTGCGATTTTTATATATAAAGAGTGGGTTATTAAAATTTTCGTCAGTATACGATTCTTGTAATCTGTTTGCAGTCTTCTCACTAATTGTTGGAAAATTTGATAAATCCTCATTAATCGGATAATCACGTATTGCATTGAATTCATTTGGTTTAAGTACGTGAAGTTGCTGAAAAATGTATTCCAGATTATCATAGTCCATAACCAAAAATCTAATACGAGAAAGGTACGGGTTTAAGATAGCACGACATGTTTCTCCTATGGTAAAGTCATCGAGATTTTCGTTAGATTCTTCTTTGTCTCTAACTCTTAATTTCGCCCAATTGTATATTGCGGAAAACAGAACAAATTCTGTTAAATTTTCAGGATATATCGGACGAGATACGAATCTTTCGATAGTTTGATCTTTGCAATGAAGAAAGTCTTCGCCATTTAAGATTGTTTCCCAGTGGAAATCGAACATTTTCCAGCAATAGTATTGTAATATCGTGTCACTCTGTTCGCATGCAAAATCGTGTATTTGACTGACGTTCGTATATGTCATTAGTGTTACGAGAAAGTTGCGGCATTGCTTGAACAGTTCCGGAATTTCGAATTCTTTGCTCAATACATAAACCTCCATTGCGTTTTCAATCGATGTCAGAAAAGGATTGCCAGTTTTGATAAAACTGTCAAAATCAAGTAAAATATTAATTTAACAATTAATCGTCAAACAGTTAATATTTTATTAATGATTATTTATAATTTAATACGACTTACTGTATAATTCGTGCTGTGGTAACATAAGACAAGCGTAGTTTAATGATGGAATTTTGCAAATGAGGATAATATACCACTCCATTANTGAAAGACCATCTAATACAGCTTATATTATTTACAAAATTAATATTTTATTTTTCGTTATGTAATTACTTATTAATTAATCAGTCGTAACAATAAACGTGTGACAATCGTTAATTACTACAATAGTTTTATTGGATTGTTTATGAAATTTGGTCTTTCATCAATCTAAGAAACACGAGTACAGACGATAATTTCATTGACGTGCACTGTGTTACTGGGAAAATATTCAAAGTGTCCAGCAACTGTTTAGTGAGACTCAGCAATTATCTGTTCAATGGAGTAGCGTATTGTCCTCATTTGCAAAATTCCATCATTAGACTACGCTTGTCTTATGTTACCACAGCACGAATTATACTGTAAGCCATATTAAATTATAAATAATCATAAATAAAATATTAATTAACTGTTTGACGACTAATTGCCAAGTTGAAAATTTCGTTTACTTTTCAGTTTTATCAAAAATGGCGATCCTTTTCTGACGTCGATTGAAAATGCAATGGAGGTTTATGTAGTGAGCAAAGAATTCGAAATTCCGGAACTGTTCATGCAATGCCGTAACTTTCTCGTAACACTAATGACAGATACGAACGTCTGTCGTATACACGATTTTGCATGCGAACAGAGTGACACGATATTACAATACTATTGCTGGAAAATGTTCGATTCCCACTGGGAAACGATATTGAATGGCGAAGACTTTCTTCATTGCAAAGATCAAACTATCGAAAGATTGGTATCTCGTCCGATATATCCTGAAAATTTAAGAGAATTTGTTCTGTTTTCCGCAATATGCAAATGGGCCAAAGTAAGAGTTACATATAAAGAAGAATCTAACGAAAATCTTGATGACTTTATCATCGGAGGAAGATGTCGTATTATCTTAGATCCCTATCTATCTTGCATCAGGTTTTTGACGATGAATAATGTTGAACTGGAATACATTTTCGAGAAACTACATTTACTGAAAGCAAATGAAATCCAAGCAATACGTGATTATTGGATTAATGTCGATTCGCCAAATTTTCCAACTACAATTAGTAAGGAGACTAGAGGAAGAGCACGGGTTTGGTATACTTCTTGCTTTATATAAATGTGAGATCCGCAAGTTTTAAGGATTTTTTAACCACTCAACAGTGAAGGACGGATATACCCATTAAATTCTTTTAAGGGTATGGCCAAAAAGTAGCCAAAAACTACCGCGAAAAAAATTCACCTAGAAAATGACTTATGTAACAATAAAAAAAGGCTTTTGTTTACTAGACATAACTGTTTACAAAATTTTTTTCTAAAACGGTAATGAGAAAAAACGCGCGAAAAATTATTTTTAAAATTTTTCACGTTTATTCTTCACTACTGGGGGTAGAACCATACCTGTCTACTCCACTGTTGATTACGTTTTTAATAACATTTTTATATAACATTCGTCGTGATTGTTAGAAAACATCGCACGAGCTACGGATGAGACAAATGGATGAGACCTTAAACAGTTAGTTATTAAATGATAACATCCGATTGTGAAAGGAATTAATCGTCAAACAATTAATATTTTATTTTTCGTTATGTAATTACTTATTAATTAATCAGTCGTAACAATAAACGTGTGACAATCGTTAATTACTACAATAGTTTTATTGGATTGTTTATGAAATTTGGTCTTTCATCAATCTAAGAAACACGAGTACAGACGATAATTTCATTGACGTGCACTGTGTTACTGGGAAAATATTCAAAGTGTCCAGCAACTGTTTAGTGAGACTCAGTAATTATCTATTCAATGGAGTAGCGTATTGTTCTCATTTGCAAAATTCCATCATTAGACTACGCTTGTCTTATGTTACCACAGCACGAATTATACTGTAAGCCATATTAAATTATAAATAATCATAAATAAAATATTAATTAACTGTTTGACGACTAATTGCCAAGTTGAAAATTTCGTTTACTTTTCAGTTTTATCAAAAATGGCGATCCTTTTCTGACGTCGATTGAAAATGCAATGGAGGTTTATGTAGTGAGCAAAGAATTCGAAATTCCGGAACTGTTCATGCAATGCCGTAACTTTCTCGTAACACTAATGACAGATACGAACGTCTGTCGTATACACGATTTTGCATGCGAACAGAGTGACACGATATTACAATACTATTGCTGGAAAATGTTCGATTCCCACTGGGAAACGATATTGAATGGCGAAGACTTTCTTCATTGCAAAGATCAAACTATCGAAAGATTGGTATCTCGTCCGATATATCCTGAAAATTTAAGAGAATTTGTTCTGTTTTCCGCAATATGCAAATGGGCCAAAGTAAGAGTTACATATAAAGAAGAATCTAACGAAAATCTTGATGACTTTATCATCGGAGGAAGATGTCGTATTATCTTAGATCCCTATCTATCTTGCATCAGGTTTTTGACGATGAATAATGTTGAACTGGAATACATTTTCGAGAAACTACATTTACTGAAAGCAAATGAAATCCAAGCAATACGTGATTATTGGATTAATGTCGATTCGCCAAATTTTCCAACTACAATTAGTAAGGAGACTAGAGGAAGAGCACGGGTTTGGTATACTTCTTGCTTTATATAAATGTGAGATCCGCAAGTTTTAAGGATTTTTTAACCACTCAACAGTGAAGGACGGATATACCCATTAAATTCTTTTAAGGGTATGGCCAAAAAGTAGCCAAAAACTACCGCGAAAAAAATTCACCTAGAAAATGACTTATGTAACAATAAAAAAAGGCTTTTGTTTACTAGACATAACTGTTTACAAAATTTTTTTCTAAAACGGTAATGAGAAAAAACGCGCGAAAAATTATTTTTAAAATTTTTCACGTTTATTCTTCACTACTGGGGGTAGAACCATACCTGTCTACTCCACTGTTGATTACGTTTTTAATAACATTTTTATATAACATTCGTCGTGATTGTTAGAAAACATCGCACGAGCTACGGATGAGACAAATGGATGAGACCTTAAACAGTTAGTTATTAAATGATAACATCCGATTGTGAAAGGAGAAGAAAGTAAGTGAAACCGTTGAGTCAACAAGAATTAGAGCTGAACTAGCACCTGCCAAATCAACCTTCGTTTCCAAACAATTGCCGATCAGTTTCCCAGGCTAAACGTATAAAATGACGAGACACAGAGAGGTCCGGGTGTTTATTATAAGGAAGTCCCATAGAGGATACATTAGTGCAGAAGGAAGAGCAAGAAGGAGCTCTATATGCCTCTACCTCCATAAAACGGACTTAATCCAGACCCCGGAGAAGACAGTCACCATTCCCTCGACAGAGAATCCTCCTCAAGACTATAGAACGACGCCATATCCTCGATGAACGAAGATTTGAGGTATTTTGTATAGATAAATGTAAACTCTCTCTCCGGGTTCCTGAACTTAGGCACGCAACCCGCGTCATAGGAATTTGAATAGTCAAAGCCTTGTATGATTTTATATTTAATCGCATTTAACCTCCTACTGTATAAAACCTATGTATATTCTAGATTTAAATTATATTAAACTTTATTTGCCATCTCTTTGTTTTGAATTTCTCCAATTGGGTCCCAGGCCACACACGTATAAGAGGAAATGAACAAGCTGATGCAGCTGCAAAGTCATCTGGTCCTTTAATGTATTTCGTGCCTGTTGAAGGCCGCGATTTGAAGCCTGTCGTTTAAATACGACTGGCAGAGATATGGCTGAACATGGCCCCCACCAGTGGGCGAGTGGTCTCCGTTGCCGCTCATCGTAGTGGTGACCAGACCCTAAAGACTGGGAGGTTCGTCGTGGGTTCGCGCCACGGTCGGACAGGCTGGCTGCTTGGAGTTTTCCGGGTTTTCTCCTTGCCTATAACGACTGAATAGGAGGCCAGTTCCCCATAAAAGTCCTCCCGGAAGGCATTTATTTCCCGCGCGTACGTATGGCTGTTCGATACAGCCGGCTAATCGGTCGCCTAGCGATCATACACATACACAATTCTACTCGGAGAAAGAGCCTACATTGAGCTAAAATCTCCATATAAACACCATCGAAGAAGAAGAAAGATGGCTGAACATGCGGAATGAACGAGTCCACAATAAACTAAAGGAGATCAAACCTTTGATAGAAAATTAGACACCTAATGAGGTTTACGACAAGAGATCAGAGGTTATTCTTACTTGTTTGAGAATCGGACATACTTGTTTGAGAATCGGTACGGTACCCGAAATCGAATCCTGGCGAACAACCTCGAAAACTTTTTGTGGGCGGCTTGTGATAATTACTGCAACATTGCTCAATTACAGCTCAAGATAAAACAGCCGAAAAATTATTTAAAAATGATTGGTTGTCGTAAGCGATAAATGTGTCGTCATAGTAGTATGAACGGTATTAACGCCTATGAATGTGGGGCGAAACGAGAGCTGCCATTGCCGTGTTGATAAATAAAGCTTTGTTCTCTTTATACGGAATGATTAGTGAATGATAAAGCATGCAACTGCGACTGAAACCTGTAACTTCTTATTTGCATTAATTTTACATGCTTCACGAGGATCAGCTACATGGATTGCATCTGTTGTGATCCGGGATTATTTTGGATCCCCAGAGCAGCAAATTATATTTTTGTCAGTACTGACAATTTCTGGGATTTGAACTAAGGATGAGGTTACACTTTCGTTTGATCCTGCGTATGGCAGTTATAAAACCTGGTTTCAGCATCTATAACTAAATTATGTCGTTTTGAGTGGCACACGCGTAAAATATGTTGGTCTTCATCCATTGAATTTCTGGTCATTATCAATTATGCAAATAATTATTCGGTTGATTTGGTTTATAAAATAATACTAGAATATGACGGCAAACGAAATCGACTTGATATCTTTTTTTTCATGGGTTTTTTTGACTCCGAAAAGTGGGCCTAAGAGTGTACTTCATCTTCCCATACCCATTTTAGGTTCGAACAGGCCCAGAATGAAGTAACCGGGACGTAAGCCGGGTTGCAAACTATATATCCTGAAAAGTCTATTCATGAAAAATTTCCTGGGATTAAACCATCCAGATTCGATCCTGGAGACCCAGAACAATAGAACCATTCCTCAAAACACCTCTATCATTCGAATTTAGAAAATACAGAATTGCTTTACCTAACAGTAGTAAAGCTGAAATGAATGCAATAAATATTTTCATCGTTGAAGTGGATTTTATTTCAGTATTTTTCCTTGAAGGGACCACCACGATTCGTCGACGTGATTACGAACTTGTCTAAAATACTCGCGCTATTTATATTACTTTCATTCCAGTGGACCATCTGCCATTATTCTTCTTAACGTATATTAAATGAAAATTCGAAAACAATAAAGTCGTAATTATTGCTTTCTAATAAAATGTAATTGCAGAACTATCTGCAACACCTGTGTAAACTCTATTTTTATACGTTTAATTAGGTAATTAATCGCGCTATTGTTTTTTATGGGAGTTTTTTAATCAAATTAATTAAATTGTTCTGAACTTCTATTTAACCGATTTGACTTCGGTAAAATTTTTTAAAACGCTATTGGATGTTTTTTATAACATCAGCAGGTTTTTTTTTGTTTTTTGTTCAGTAGAATTTTTCCCCCATAGTTTTTTTCGGTCCCCTCGTAATATAATAGCATTAAAATCGACAATATTGTATTATATTTGAACAGATGCGGTAAGTTAGCTCCCCTCCTGCTTTAGACCAATATTTCCCTGAAGGGTACATAAGAACTACCCGGGAAAGCCCACTCCAGTTGTTCTCAAGGTCAACAAGTTTGTAAGCAATGTAGACTGCACATGTGAAATTTCACGCCTTGTTAAAAGAAAGAATAACAATTCTTACAGCTGTATTTCTCGCATTTAATATATATAGTATTAGACAACAAAACACGAGGGAGATCTTTCAGGAAGATTTTCAATGGAAAACTGGTTCTTAGCTAAATGTTACACGCATGTAAACGATCCGGAAAACCCGTTAGTAAGGAGCGAATCTGTGACTGTTCAGGAGTTTTATCCATCGCTACTGGTGAGCACCATAGAATAATGCACTCAAACTGGGCAGTATCATAAATAGAAAGAGTTTAAACAGCAATACTGATTAATTAACAACATAAAAACATTATCTAAGCTATTCAAAATACATATGTAATATTTCTTTCTTGACTTTCGTGACATTGCATATACGAGTATTATATTGAATTGAAGGAAAGGAAACTCCGTTTTTATTATTTGCTGTCATTGAACAGCTCAATACTATGTTTAGTCAACTTTGTTATAGGAATAAAGCACTTCATTTCTTATAAACTGGATATTTTACAGAAATCAGGCCTGCTCAGCATTGACTTTTATATTATCAATAAATGAAAATGTTGATGAAGAAGACTTCTGTTATACCAGTTTTCTATTCACAGAATTGTGTTACAAATCAATTTTCAGAGTTATTTTATATTGTTTTAAGCTTGCATAGAAATTAC